GAATGAAGGGCCTTTGAGAGGCTAGTTGTTTTTTTTTGTTTTTTTGTTTTTGTTTTTGTTTTTAATATATATTTTTTATTGATTTTTTTACAGAGAGGAAGGGAGAAGGATAGAGAGCTAGAAACAGATAGAGAGAGAGACATCAACCAGCTGCCTCATGCACACCCCCTACCGGGGATGTGCCTGCAACCAATGTACATGCCCTTGACCAGAATCGAACCTGGGACCTTTCAGTCCGCAGACCGATGCTCTATCCACTGAGCCAAACCTGTTTCGGCAAGGGGCTAGTTTTAATGCTGGGTCATGGAGTGTATGTATGCTCAGTAAGGAGGGAAGTGGTAATGGCAAAGGTTTTGAGGTTTTGGGGGTTTATAAGTCACTGAATAGTAATACCAGGGCAGTGAGTTAGAAAGATAGAAGGTGGACAGAATGCCTGCAAAAAAAGATTTTGGAGATGTTACTAGCTCTGAAAAAATGAAGTCAAAAGATATATATCCTTTACCTCAGGTGCAGCAAAATCTTTAAAAATAAACATATTTGCAGAAACTGGTGTGGCTCAGTGGATAGAGCACCGGCCTGTGGACTGAAAGGTCCCAGGTTCAGTTCCAGTCAAGAGCATGTACCTTGGTTGCTCTCTCTTCCTTTCTGTAAAAAATCAATAAAACATATTTTTTAAAATAAAATTAAATAAAAATAAATAAATTTAACTGAGGTTTAAATGATCTGCTAAAGTGCCAGTCAGCTTGTCTGGCCAGCATGTACACAGTCTTGGCGGGCGGATGTTATCTCTGTGGACAGAGCTGCTCTGCTTTTAGTTGATAGCAGGCTGGAGGCCCCTGGTTCACACCTTATTTACCTGTCAAGACTGACAAGGCAGTCACTATTCTCACCGCCTTCCAATACTTTCTGATTGCATTTTCCCCTTCAAAAAAAGAAAATTATGCATCCAATGACTAGATGAGGATGGGGAAGTCCACTCAAGAAAGTTTTAAAGAAATTATTTTCAGGGTTATGTAGTGTTAGTGATAAAGTTGAGAATGGAATGCAAGGTGCTTCCTCATAAGAAAGATGCTATTGTTTTAAAACATTACTAGTCTTCTATTCGACATTTAATGAATGTTGGAAGCTGCACATTGCCTTCCCTAGCAGAAAGAGGTGGACCAGGAGTCCAGAAGGCTGGTCAACCCTTGCCAGAGCCATACACCCACTGTCTAGTTGAGACAAAGGGAGCTGAAGCAACTTCCTCCTTTTAGTCTCAGGTAAATCCTTGCTGAGGGGCTATCCTCCAGCTGTAACTAGAAATTGCCTGACTGAGGGAGGGCTATGGGTGGATCCCAAACCTGAATACTAGGGGATTGCAAGGCCAGGAAAAAGCAGAGTCCTCTCTTGGGCTTCCTTCCACCTGGCCCCCAATTCCAAAATTAGTATTTTCTGCCAAAATAGGTTTGGCTCAGTGGCTAGAGCGTCGGCCTGTGGACTGAAAGGTCCCGGGTTTGATTCCAGTAAAGGGCATGCACCTTGGTTTCGGCCATATACCCAGTGGGGGGCGTGCAAGAGGCAGCTGACCAATGACTCTCATCAATGTTTCTAACTCTCTGTCTCTCTCCCTTCCTCTCTGTAAAAAAAATCAATAAAATATATATATATTTTTAAATTAGTATTTTTTTGTCTAGTCTCTTTCATTTGTGTGTTGCCTCCTCCAGAGCCCGAACCCTGAACCCCACGTGGGACCTGGGAGGGACACTCACAACTGGACCCAACGTGGAGTACTTGAAACTGGCAGCCCAACATGGACCACTCGCAAATGAGCCCTTATTTATTTCTTTTTAGTTTCTTTTTAAATTTTTTATTTACTGATTTTTTTTTGAGAGGGAGAGAGGGAGAGGAGAGTAAAGGGGGTGAGAAAGAGAGAAACTGATTTGTTGTTCCACTTATTTATGCATTCATTAATTGATTTTTGTATGTTTTCTGACCAGGGATCAAAACAGAAACTGTTATATAGGGATACTGGCCAATTACTATATGCCACTCAACATGCTAGGTCAGTAGTTTCTAAACTTTTTGGTCTTAGGACCCCTTTACACTCTAAAATAATTGGGGGACCCCAAGGAATTTTTGTTTAAGTGCATTATATCTATTGATAATTACTGTTTTAGAATTCAAAATGGAGGAATTGAAAAAATTTATTTTAAAAGAATATACCCATTGCATGCTAACATAAATAACATCTTTCATGAAAATATTTTTCAAAACAAAAAAAAAGTTTAGCAAGAAGAGCGACATTGTTTTACATTCTACTACCCCCCCTCCCAATATATTTAATATCTGACTTAGTAGAAGACAGCTGGAACCTCCTACCTGCTTTTGCATTCAATCCATTGCCAGATCATACATTATATATCCCCTAGAACCGTGGACGGCAAACTGCGGCTCGTGAGCCACATTGACTCTCAAAAGAAATTTCAATTGTTGTACTATTGATATTTGGCTCTGTGATAGATCCTCCCTTCCTCCAACTGATGGACATATGTAAACTCCACCTGCAGCTGGACATTCCTGAGCACTGAACCACCAATCAGCACCTGCCAAATACCCTAAGCCCCCATTCCTAAGTCCCTAGGTCCCTAATCATAGGCCTTAAGTGAAACCACCAGTCAGCGTGTGCTGAGTGCCCTAAGCCCCGTCCCCTATCCTCCCCTTAAAAAGGGCTTGTTCCCCGGCCCTCACTCTCTTCTGCTCTCTCTCTCTCTCTCTCTCTCTCTCTCTCTGGAAGCAGTGGTACTCTTTTCTTCAATAAAGCCTGTGTCCTGGCATCCAGGTCTCCGGCCCACTCTATTTCATCTTTCCCTCTGTTGACTAAATGAGTTTGCTGACCACTGCCCTAGAATATACATGTCCATTGCACACTCATGAAAATTAAGTGCTAAAACAATAGCTTGGTATTATTATGAAAATATTATTGATCTTGAGAACCCTCTGAAAGCATGTTAAAATGAGATCCCCAGGGGTGCCCAGACCATACTTTGGGAACCACTGTGCTAGGGTATTGGGACATAACCTTTAAGGAAGTGAGACCAGCAGGAGAGAAGCACATTGACAGGTAGGCAGTACCTAGTGTAGTGAATTGCGTGCTTTAAAGAGTCTAGTATGATGCTCACTGGGGAAGTAAGCAAAGATCTCAAGGAGCTGACATTTGAGTTGGACCTTGAAATAGAAGGAGGCATAGAACAGGGAAGGGGATTCTTGGCTGAGAAAGAGCATGAGTAAAGGCATGAAGCAAGTCTGTGTCCCTAGAACATTGCATGCATGAAGGGAAGTTACTGGAGAGAAGCCTGGAAAAGTGTCGAAGGAGGCATCTGAATAGAGTGTTCTGTAGGCAATGGGAACCAGTTATTAGCTGATAAATAACACATTAATGTTTGTCCCCCTACTCTATCTAGACTAGGCTCTGTAGTAAGAATTTCGTATTCTCACCAACCCACTGAAAGAGGAATTATTAGCCTTACTTTACAAAAGAAGAAACTGAGGCTTCTCAGTTGTTATTGTGCATATTTGGATTTCTCTTTTCTATTATTAAGCTGACTCCTAGTACTAACCCATCGTTCTGAAGTTCTGAGGATTGAAAATGATATATTTCCAGAGATAATGTACAATAATAAAAGTGTAATATGCTAATTAGACCGGATGTCCTTCTGGAGGAAGCCTGGGCTGCGAGGGAAGCCCGGGTCCCAGGTGCCAGAGGGAAGCTGGTGCCGGCAGCCCCGGGAAGGAAGGAAGGCCTACTCTTGCACGAATTTCGTACATCTGGCATTTAGTGTATAATATAATAAGGGGTAATTGAGGACCTCTTGGTTTTCTAGAAAGAAGTAGCTGTTGGTGTCCCAGTGAAACATGAGGAGCTGCTGGCTTCTCCTGGCTTCTAAAAGCTCTCCGCTGTCCCAAGTGGTCATAACCGCTACCCTCCCTCTGTAATAGACTTTCGGGGTGTCAGTCAAAACGTTTTGGCAGGGATAAGGAAATGAACTAAGACCAAAACTCACAAAAGAATAAAATATAGCAGCTAAAATGATGACAAAATATTTTTCAAAGGACAGGGTTCTCTGCTTTCTCCCTTGGATGTTGTATCCTCAGTTCTGCGGGCTAAGGACATAGATATGATTTGAATGTGTTGCCTGCCGGGAAGCATTAAAGAGATAAACATTAAAAAAAAAAAAAAAAAAAAGCCCAAACGGGTTTGACTCTGTGGACAGAGCGTCAGTCTGTGGACTGAATGGTCCCAGGACAAGGGCAGGCACATTGGTTGTGGGCACATCCACTATAGGGTGTGCAGGATGCAGCTGATCGATGCTTCTCTCTCATGGATGTTTCTAACTATCTCTCTCCCTTCCTCTCTGTAAAAAAATCAATAAAATATATATATTTTTAAAAAGAGATAAACTGTTTCGAGGGTGTTTTTTTTCCTCCTCTGTGACTTCAGTTTGCCCCCATTGAAAAGGGCAAGTCTACTGAGGACCTATTTGAGAAAAAAAAAAAAATTCACGTTTTCGTGTGGGAAAGTATATAGGTGGGACGCTGAGCAACCTTAAATTTGGATTCAAACCTTAAATCAGGCAAAGCTAACGAATGCTTTAGAAACACTAACATTGAGGGGCAGGAATGCATGCCTGAGAATGATTCACTTGCAATTTTTCCACTCCTGTTATTCAATCTAGGTTATTCGTGTCTTAAACACTGTTAGAGATGCATGGACACAGCATCGCCCAACTCTGATTAAACTCAGCTCTCAGGTGATGATCTAGTCGGTAGTTAGTACTGAACAACACTGAACCCCGATATAGGCAGGTCTAGGGCAGCTGTGCACGCGTGCGCCTGCATTAGGCCCTTAAAAGGGCCCTGGGGAACCCGCGGGTGATTTGGAAACGCTCCCTTGCGCCAGAGGAAGCGAGTGCGCACGCGCCGAGCCCGGGCCAAGCTGATGCAACCTCCGCGCGAGCAGCCGGGTCCTGAGAGTAAGAAAACCGACAGGGACCGGCGCCTGGCCAATCAGCGCCGCCAGGAAGAAGGCGGAAGGGCCCGCCCCCTGGGGCTCTGCGAGTGACGTTACGAGGCGAGGGGTCGGCATCTCGGCCGCAGCACGTTCCCGCCGCCGGGTGGCCTAGGCTGTCCCGCCTGGACGCTGGCCCTGCGGCCATTTTGAGCCGGGTTCGTCCCTGCCACCGTCTGCTGGGCCCTTCCGGGGACTCGCTGCGAGGCGTGGAAAGTCGTGCCGTCGCCGCGAGAGGCCTCTGCATGGTGCCTCGAGCGGACTAGGACGCCGCCTTCCCGCCGCCGGGATGGGCGCCGCCGCCGCCGCCGCCATCTGCGCCGGCCTCTCCGGACTGCCGTCTGCTGCCCGCGGCCGAGGCCGCTGCCCCGGGGACCGGTCTGGGACGCCGACTCCGCCACCTGGCGAGGTCGGGGCCGTGTAGGCCTCCCCGGTTCCCGTCCGACCCGGCCAGCCGGGCCGCGCGCCTCGCTGACACCCTGCCAGGAGGAGCGGAGGCGATGATGGAGCCGGGAGCGGGCCTGCGCTTCTTCCCTCGGCGCTCGCCCCCCGGCGCTGCCGCCGAGCACCCCGGGGACCCCAAACCCGTGTCCTCGCCCCGGCCGGAGGAGGCTCGGCCTGGCTTCTGGATGAAGCTGCTCTCCCAGCTCTTCGCGCCGCTCCCCGGCCTGCTGCAGAGGCTGCTGGTGTGGAGCCAGCTGCTCGGCGGGATGGTCCCGGCGAGGTGGCTGGACTTCGCCGCGGGCTACAGCGCCCTGCGGGCCCGCGAGGAGCCGGCCGCCCCCTCGGGGCAGAAATCGCTGGGTTCGCTCCGGCTGGGCCCCTCCTCGGTCGACTCGGCCGACGACCTTCTGGACCTGCTGGAGGAGGGGATCCGCTGGGAGTGCCTGATCCCCGATCTGAAAGCCGCGGGCGGAGCCCTGCACCCCGAGGCCCGCGCCTCTCTCCTGGAGCAGCAGCTGTGGAGGATGGAGCTGCTGCAGGAGAGCCTTCAGGCCCGGCTGTTATCGGACCAGGACCTTGGCCATCCGTCCTCCGGCCTGAAAAACACGCATCGCGTAAGCAGTTTCGGCGCCGTCTCCTATTTGCTGAACCCCTCTTATCTGGACTGCCTGTCCCCGGTAGAACTTAGCGGCTGTCAGGACTTCTTCGCCGGTGGCGAGCTGGTGGGTTTCCGGACGCTGAGCCCGGAGGGCAGCTGCCTGCCGGAGGAGGACCCCTCTGCCCCCCGGCCGCTGGACGCAGACGTCACCCGCTCCCCCTGGCAGCGATGCCCACCGCTCTCGAGGGAGGGCCTGCCCGAGATCCACCACGTTCGCATGAAACGGCTGGAATTCCTCCAGCAGCCTAGCAAGGGGCAGGCGTTACCCACCCCCGACCAAGACCATGGCTACCACAGCCTGGAGGAGGAACACAGCCTGCTCCGGATGGACCGCAAGCCCTGCGGAGGCAGCCCGGCACCCTGTGTTCCTCCCGCTGGAGCCGTTCCCGGAACTGCCCCGGAGCCCACGGAGGAAAAAAAAGAATTGACTCAAGAAGAGGTTCCTCTGGCTGCGGACAGACGGGAGCCGTCGGAGGGCCGTCTGTCCCGTGAGGCACCCATGGAAAGGGACCCCGAGGAGGAGGACCAGGGCAGTGAGGTTGACTTCTCAGACCTAGAAGACGACCCCCCCGTGTCTGCCAGGCCGGCCTGCAGCAACAAGCTGATCGATTACATTCTGGGAGGTGCATCCAGCGACCCGGAAACAAGCTCTGATTCAGAAGGTGAGGACTGGGATGAGGACGACGGCTTTGACAGTGACAGCTCACTCTCTGAATCAGACCTTGAGCAAGACTCTGAAGGGCTGCACCTCTGGAACTCTTTCCACAGTGTAGATCCTTACAATCCCCAGAACTTCACAGCAGCCATTCAGACTGCTGCCCCCGCTGCTCCCGGAGACCCTTCTGACCCCCAGAAGGGTTTGTCTGACAAGTCCGATCTGGGGAGCTCTCTCCAGACCGGAAGCCTTCCCGAGTCTCCAGACCTTAATTCTGGGGCGGAAGATGACTGGGAATCTAGTGCAGATGAAGCAGAGAGTCTCAAACTGTGGAACTCTTTCTGTAATTCGGAAGACCCCTACAACCTTTTAAATTTTAAGGCTCCTTTTCAAACAGCAGGGAAAAACGGGAAAGGCTCTCAGGACTCAGAGAGGCCACCTGAGCCCATTGTGACCTTTTCTGAGTGTCACAGCTTGCTTTCCTGTAAGGTGCAACTGGTAGCGAGCCGAGACAGTGAGTGTCCGGACTTGGTACCGGGTGGGGTTCTTTCTGGAGGACACACGCGTATCAAGAGAAAAAAGGTTTGTGTCTTTTTACTTGTTTGATAATATGCACAGACGGTTGTGATATGGTCAAATACAGCAGCAGCCTGACTTTCCTGGAGGGACAGCAGTACATTGCTTTTGCTTGAAGAGTAGTATGCTGTTCCTGTCCAAACAGGAGATGCCAGTGAACAGATGTTAGCAAGAAAGTGCCCTTTTCATTGGCAACTCGGAGCCATATCCCTACAGGCTTCAACTTCTCACTCTTTTTTAAGGAACTGGAAGGTTAAATCGTGTGTATACATGATTTAATTTTCCCAGAGATTGGGAAGGCCCTAGGATAGCCACAGAATTTAAAATGTTAAACGTGGTATGTTAGACTGTCTTCATTCCTTTCCATTCGAACCCGGAGGGATGATGGGACCAAGGAGCAAGTCAGATTAACTCTGTTTTTGTTTTTTTTACCATGAAAGGAAATAATTTTAGTATTCAAAATTGTGACATGTACATGATTTTAATTCTGTTAAAAAAAAACACAGGAAATAGTGTTGCCTTTAAGAATGCAATACTAGTTGTCATTAGCTAACTACAGGTTAATAATTATGTAAAGCAATGATGGTCATTTATGTGGTTTACCTTAAGTAGTTGCTTCCTATTCCCAGTCTAGTTATAAAACGTTATGGAGCATTTTATCTTTCAGCTAAAGTTATTAATTGAAGAGAAATCCTCTCCAAACACACAGGATATCTTTTATTGTAGAGGGCAAGTTTCTTCAGTTACCTGTACCTTTATTTGGACAGAGGAAGAAGTGGATGAATTATTGACCTCATATTCTGCAGCATCTGGGAGTTTCCAGTGGAGAGTACCCTCACCCTTCGGCTCTAAATGTCTAGTTTAATATTTTGAAACTATTTGGGGGTAGAAAATACCTTTAAGATGTGATAATTTTATGTCTTACCTCTAGATGCAAAGTAAACCATGTTGAAAAGTGGAAATTTTAGTTTACACTACTGTATCATCATAATACAGCTTTTCTTTATCTTTTTAAGGGGCCCCTTACTTAGTGAATTATGTAAGAAATAGCCAGGCAATGGAATGACCATTGCCACCTGGAGACCTGTGATCCCTACTTCTGAGTGGTTAGGGCCAAGAGATTTGGGAATACAGCCAAACCTGGGAAGTTCTCTCATGGCTTTGAGTAACTAATTTATCTTATGGGAATAATAATAATACTGTATGAGTTATTGCATGATTCAAACGAGATGAGTAAACACAACTCAATTCATTGTCTTGCCTTTAAATGGTAGCTCTTATTGTTCAGGGATGTCAGGCCAGTTGCATGTCTCATTTGAGCACGCTCATTGAGTAAAAATGGAATGAGTCAAGTAGATTTGAGACTGTTGACTGAACTATTGTAGAAGCAACTTTTATCAAAGATTATGCCTCAACTATGGTTAAATTATTTGACAGCCTTTGCCTACTTGCCATTCTTTAGATATATGGGAATATCGGTAGTACTTGGTGCTTAAAATGAAGCTCTTACTTAGATCTAGGAGTTTAAAATGCACATAACATGGTGCAGATTGTGGAGCCAGACTCAGGGTTTGAATCCTATTTATACCACACAGAAGCTGTGTGATTTGAATAAGTCAGTTAACTTCTATTTTGTTTCCTTTTCTGTATAATAGTACCCTATAGGGTTGATGGGAGGATTAAATGAGATAAAAATTGTAGAGTGCTTTGAAAAGAGCCTGTATATGGTGAACACTATGTAAATGTTGCTATTATTTATCTTAGTGACAATAAGTTACACTAGAATGCAATATCTGTAAGGGTTTACATACCACACTTTCTAATTGTCCTCGGGGGCATTTATTGGCCTGATGTAAAGGGAATGTAAGCAGTAGGCCACAGTGGGGTTAGCTGATGAAACTATTGAGCATACTTTAAAAGCAAGTCCCAATTTACTTTTGGGGTTTGATATCTTACAAAGAAACTTATTGGAAATTAAATAGGGATTAATGGGGACTGTGACTCATTACATGTGATTATGTGTATGACAGTATGTACAATTTTATGTATGTAGGGTGTTCCCAAAAATATATACACACTTTGAATGATTATAAAGAATGTGTTAACATACAGTTCATTTACAGAAATGAATACCTTTTTTTGTCAATGCCTGTTTTCAAACTGATGAATCGTACTGGGCTAGCCACTACTCATAACGTGAAGCAATGGAATCACAAACATCAAGAATCATTTCGTTTGGTATTTGTGTGTATCAGTTTGTCAACTGTTGCTGGTTTTGTACCATAAGCTTTATCTCTTATGTGTCCCCATAAAAATGGGTAGTGGATAAATTTTCTTTGTTCAGAGCTTAGTCGGGTTTCACCCTTTATTTCAAAGCAGTTGAACCTGAAAAGGAGTGAAAATTGAGTTAGCAGCTATTAAAGTGTGTATACAAATTTTTGGGACACCCTGTATATAGTGATAGCATGTTAAAGAGGAATACAAGAAGGGTTTTTAACTTAGTAACAAAATCTTTTATAGTATCGCTAGAGGCCCATTCACTGATGGGGCCCCTCGGCCTGGCCTGCCTGTGCCCTCTCGCCCTCTCACAATCCTGGACCCCTCAGGGGATGTCGGACTGCTGGTTTCAGTCCAGTCCCTGCAGGTCAGGCCAAGGGACCCCACTAGCGCAGGAATCCGTGCACCGGGTTTCTAGTATGCATGTAAGATCTTTGGTTAATCTCTTTCCATCATACTCTCTTCCCCCATTCCCCCTGAGATTCATAAGTCTGTTCCATGTTTCCAAGCCCGCTTAGGCATGCATATATATATATATATATATCTCCTTAAAGTAAGGTGACCAGACTTTTGGCGGGACAGTCCCCCTTTTTATCAATTTGTCCCACGTCCCGTGATGTTTTAAAACAGTCCCGATTTTTGGGAAAAAATTTTGGTAAAGTTATACTTTGCTTATTAAGTAAATTCCTCTTCTGTATTCTGATTACAAAAGAGATATTAAGAATAACACCACATGTTCATGATTCAAAAATTTGAAAGCACTGACAAGTAAAATTTCTTTTAAAAAAGGAACAATAGAAATAAGATCTTGTTAAAGCTTTTGTGTTAAAATAATAGTGACTTCCAGGGATGTATTTGCGAATTCTTTTGTTTGGAGGCATTTGTTGTTTTCGAAGAAGGGTTTCACTGAACTGAATATCACTAAGGATTTAATAAGTTAAGATTAATAGCATCAGGAAAATCGCAATTCCCCATCTGGATTCATTTTATTAACATCAAAAACCACAAGGGGATTGCCCTAACCGGTTTGGCTCAGTGGATAGAGCGTTGGCCTGTAGACTCAAGGGTCCCAGGTTCTATTCCGGTCAAGGGCATGAACCTTGATTGTGGGTACATCCCCAGTAGGGAGTGTGCAGGAAGCAGCTGATTGCTGTTTCTAGCTATCTATTCCTCTCCCTTCCTCTGTAAAAAAATCAATAAAACATATTTAAAAAACCAAAACAACAACAACAACAAAAACCCACAAGGGGGTAGGGTAGATGACAAGGTACCGATTGGTTTGTTGTTTTTTTAAATATACTTTTATTGATTTCTGAGAGGAAGGCAGAAGGAGAGGGAGATAGAAAGGTTAATGATGAGATCATTGATCAGCTGCCTCCTGCATGCTCCTACTGGGGATCAAGCCTGCAACAAGGCATGTGCCGTGACCTGGAGTGGAATCAAGAACCTTCAGTCCACAGGCAGATACTCTATCCACTGAACCAAACCGGCTTGGGCTGCCCATTGTTTTTTATTCAGAGGCCTTCTAGACAACCCCCCCCCCCCTTTTTTTTTTACTTCCTTTTACAGTTGAGATCAAATATTCTTGTAAGATATTTGATATTCTTAAAGAGTTAGTAGCATAAAAGGTTAATTACCTCATTGATGATTATAAGATCCTAGAGAGTGATTAAAGTTAGTTTTTGTCTTCATAGGTAACCTTCCTTGAAGAAGTTACTGAGTATTATGTAAGTGGTGATGAGGATCGCAAAGGACCATGGGAAGAATTTGCACGGGATGGATGCAGGTTCCAGAAACGAATTCAAGAAACAGAAGATGCTATTGGATATTGCTTGACATTTGAGCACAGAGAAAGAATGTTTCATAGACTCCAGGAAACATATGCTTCAAGGGACTTGATGCTTTCTAGCCATGTTCAGATGATGTAATAGCTGCCAGCCCTAGCATACACTAAGTAACTTACTTCAGAGGTTTCTTTTAAAACAAAAATTGGCAGCTGTCCTTTGACCTTTTTTTTTTTTTTTTTTTAGAGGATATGTAACTTGGATCCAGCAGCCTTGTTTAATATTGTTTTGCAACATATCCCACTCAGAAATGTCTAGGTGTGAAGCCAAGCCCTGATAATGAAGGATGAGATGGTGTTTAATCAGTCAGATGTGGTTTTGGATGGTGTTTGCTTCATGAGGTGAAAAAGGAACCTCTGAAGGTGTAACTTTGCACTTTCAAAACTTATTTTCTTGGGAGACAATATAGGGTTCAAAGTCCATTTTATATTTTAATTTATCTGTCTAAAAACTGGGTTCTTTTTACTTTTTCCCTTCAACATTCCTTTTTTTTTCTTTCTTTATTTCAGTTTATCTTTATTGTTGAAAGTATTACAGTTGTCCTTTTTCCCCCCATGCCCCCCCCCCCCCTCGCTTCACCCAAACCCACCCAGTTTATTTTATTTCCCCCCCATTGATTTCAGAGAGAGAAAGACTCGCCCCAACCTGTATTAGGGATGTGCCCTGACTGGGAATCGAACTAAACACCTTTTGGGATGACACTCCCTACTGAGCCACACCGGCCAGGGCTTTTCCCTCCAGCGTTCTGAAATTAATGGGCTTTTATGTTTTCTCTGTATTATCTCATTTCAGTGACTAGGCCTTTCTCCTACCTTAAGGCTAAGAAAATAATCTTGTGTATGCTGCCAATTTAAGGTACATTAGCTGTGTCTTTTTTTTTTTTTTCTTTCTAAGAATGACTTGGGCTGTAAATGTGGTAGGTTTTCATTTCTAGGTTAAGTTCTACCTAAGATATTTCCAAGGATTGCCACAAAATGGACATGTGTGTATCTGTTACTTTAGGAAAGCTGCATCTTTCTGCCAAATTTTAACATCTAATACATTTAATTTCTGTGCAAAGTGTTTTGGAGAGGGTCCTGTATATGTTACTGTGATTTCTAGGTAAATGGTTCTTTGTATCTTTTAACAGATGGAAATTGTAAAAGAGACCAGAAAGAAATAGTTACATCATAGGCATTTATATTATTTTAAACAAAAAGCATAGAATTCTCGTAGGAAGAAGATAAAAGACATCAGAGCAGTTTGGTTTTTTTGTCTATGCTCTCAACAGAAGCAGTGTTATTCATGTCAAGCCTCGCACTGTCACTTTCACCATCTGTCATGGTGACGCTGTAAACTTGAGAATGGGCAGTTCTGAATTTTCCAGTTTGAAATGTAAAATAGAGACTTCAGTCAGTACCCAAGTTTACCGTGTTCTGTTTTAATAAGGAGAGAAGGAGTAATGAGAGAAGCAGGGGCTATACTTTCAGGAAAGGAAAGGACTAGAGATTTAACAACCAGGAAGTCTTAATATCTGTAGCCCCAAATTTGCTTTTGAATCCAAGCTTTTGCAGGGACTGGCTGTGCTTGGTTAATTTAGGTAGCTCTACCTGGTGTGCATCTGTTAGGGTGAGCTTAAATGGTCAGTTTTTACTCCACGTGCCTCTCGTCATGGAACACGTGAGTAGAATAGATGACCTCTTCACTTTGAACTTGTTTCAGTGTAGGGGTGATTTTGCGTTAGAAGTGCTCCAGGGTTACTACCTCAGTTAATAATCCACCTGGTCCTTATTTCTATCTGGTTTGCTCCAAGCACTGCCTCTGGCGTTAATATATATTCACATAAACACATTGAGAGTGCAGCAACCTAAGGTCAGGTGTTTGCAGAGCCCTTAGGCAAGGTGTTCCGTGCTCCCGGCTTTAGGTGGTCATAGGGACTGCCTAGCACCATGAAAGTAGGTTGGCTCCAGGCACCAGCTGTGTCAGGTGAAAGAGGGCATTATTTGCCTTGAAAAAAGCTTGTTGAGAATGCATATGCATTCTTTAAAACCGGGATGAAGTATACTGCTTTATGTCAGATTTAGGTTGTGTTTTGTGTTTCTGAAATCTAGCACCTCTGCCGATTTGGAAAGAAGGATAGTTTACATGAACTGGGTTGTGGGAAATGGTTCTCTTGGAATTCCAACCTCAACCTCACTGCCAAATGGGTAACAGCTTGGTTAACAAGTCTCCCTTTTACTACCCTCCTTGGAAAGAAGTGAGCAGAGGGTGTTGAGAAGGGTGTTTAAGTTGGATTGAAGGAGAAGAACGATTCTTGTTGGTTTCATTCTAATCCTAGTTGGAACAAAGTTAGACCACCATCTAAAAACAAAAGTCCTTGGAAATGAACATTGCATTTAAAGTCTTGCAGTGGTGCTTCAAGTATCAATGTAGCGTGTGAAAGGCTTTGTACAGACAGGTAAAATTTCCCTTTTTGAGTGTAATAACAGCACCTTTCATCTTTAACTTGAAATCAAAACTGTCAGATTTTATTTTTTTATAATTTAATGAAGGTGAATGTAGGGGGCTAGAAGACTTCCGAATTGGCTTCCACAGATCCAATGAGTAACATGTAACCAGTTTGTTGGGATTTTATAGTAAAATTCTATTTGTGTATATAATTTAATCTGTAAATTGTAATAAATACATTTGCAATTATTAAATTTTATGTGATATTTTGGTTCAACTTTATATTTTATGCTTCATAGTACTTTACGTTGGCTTTGGAATGACTGAGCTGGATTTTCAGGTTTAAGTTGGGTATTTTTGTAGAAGCTTAGAGGGGCTGGACAAATTTTTGTGGTTTAAGATGGCTGTGGTATGTAAACCACCCCAGTTCATTGAAGGGCAGGGATGATAATGGGTAGATACAACGAAACCACGTTTTAGTAGTAGAAAGGAGAATTCGGTTCTTCGGGTATGACAGGCCCCACTTAGAGACTGGATTTTAGAATCCAAAATTGGCTCCAACCATCTGCTTCTGTGCAAAGAAAACAGTAAAATTAGAAGCAGTAAAATTCATATGCTGGGCTTAGCATAGTGTTTCTCGTAAGCAGCAGGGAAATCTGTTTTTCTATTTTGTGCATTATTGATAACCATGGTTTTGTAAATCATAATAATCTCCCATGTATGATATTGCATGTGATGGTAACATCAGGAAAAAACAAAACAAAAACTTATACCCTGATAAAAAGATACACATTTGAGTTACAGCAAGCCTCTTAGTGGATTAAGGCATATGGATCTTAGTTAATGAAGAAAATTATTAAAGGTATATTTCTTTTTTAAAAAAAAATATATTTTATTGATTTTGTACAGAGAGGAAAGGAGAGGGATAGTTAGAAACATCGATGAGAGAGAGTCATCGATCAGCTGCCTCTTGCACACCCCCCACTGGGGATATGCCCGCAACCAAGGCACATGCCCTTGCCCGGAATCGAACCCGGGACCCTTCAGTCCCCAAGCCAACACTCTATCCATTGAGCCAAACCGGTCCCGGCTAAAGGTATATTTCTGAACTGGAAGGAAGGAAACTAACATTTAGTTGCAGATAATTAGTACTTACCACCAATTAAATTGACATTTTTATTACCGACTTGAGGATTTAAGCATTTTTGTCTCTTTCCAGGGAGATATGTGAAAATAGCCATATTCACATCAAGCAGATTTATTGTTGTGTCTGTCCTGATATCCTATAGACATTGTGCTGTGGGTTTTACTATAATACTTTCACAGAATATTTAATTGTTGACCCAATAAATGTTGATAGTTACACATAGAATTAAGTGGTCTCATTTAGAGACTTCTTTGGGTCCTGTACGTACTAGTACCTTTTAAAAAGAATGGAAATACTTTTTACCCCTCAAATTACTCATTTATAAAAGTACCTAATATAGAGATAATATAAAGGCATTCTTGGTACTGTCTAAAAGTAAGTATGCTGCCCCCAAGGTACCTTTTAAGGTGAGAGACATAATTAAAAAAAATAGTTTTATTGATTTCAGAGAGGAAGGGAGCAGAGAGAAACTTCAATGATGAGACTCCCTCATCGGCTGCCTCGTGCCTGCTCCCTACTGAGGATTGAGCCCGAAACCCAGGCATGTGCCCTTTACCCGAATTGAACTCGGACCCTCCCTCCAATCTGCAGGCTGCATTCTATCCACTGAGCCAAGCCCGCTAATGCCTTAATTTCTTTTAATGTGTGTAAAGAGGTTTTAATTTAAATATGATATATATAAATTGATTTCAGATAGGAAGGGAGAGGGGGAGAGAGATGGAAACATCAATGATTCATTGATCAACTGCCTCCTGCACACCCTCTACTGGGGATCAAGCCTGCAATCTGGGCAAATGCCCTGAGCAGAAATTGAACCTTGACCTCTTAGTTCATAGATTGAGGCTCAACCACTGAGCCACATAGGCCAGGCTGGTATATCTTCACTTAACTGATTATGACATAAATGTCAGCTGTTTGGAATTTTTCTATTATACATCAGAAATTAGGATTCTTATGGACTTGGTTGAATGCTCTGTAATCGATACAAAACAGCCTTTTTCTCCTTGAATTTGCTCTAGTGAGACTAAGTGTGTATGTTTCAGTTATGACTTCAAAATACAGAGGCAGCATGATATCAAAATCTATAACAATAGGCGTAATAAATAGGATAAATGGATCTTTTAATCCTGCTTTGAGGATTTATTAGCAAGCTTTCAATTAATATGTTTTAGTGACCTGTTAAACAGAATTTAAAGAGAAATCATTTTATTTGTGGACTGAGAACACAGGATGGGATATGTATTACTATGTGTTTTACCTTTGGCAGACTTCCTCACCTCAGCAGGGAAAGAGGGAAGCAATTTATGGAGCCATGGAAAGTGGGTGGCTGCACCCGTTGGGAGGGTACCCTAGAGATACAATGAGAACAGAAGGTCTAGAAAGCTGAACTATAATATAAGGGAAGTGGTTTTGGAACTACTTTCCAGGTTTTGTTCTTTCAGTCTTCCCTTGATCTCATTACTATCCTTTTAAAATATACATATATTTGTTTTATTGATTTCAGAGAGAACAGGAGATGGAGGTATTGATAGAAATATCAATGAGAGAGAATCATTGATCAGCTGCCTCCTACAAGCCCCACATTGGGGATTGAGCCCACAACCTTGGCATGTGCCCAGATCAGGAATAGAATCTGATTTGCTTCGTAGGTCGACCCTCAACCACTGAGGCACACCAGCTGGCTGTACGATCCTTTTCTTAGTTTCCTCCTGCCTTTGCTGTTTTTTTTC